TCCGTGGGACCTCTTGGGCCGTCTGGGGCCCTTCTGGGCCCGAAAAGGGGAGAACCCGAAAAACCTTGAGAAACCTCAGGGAAAAACAATGCGTTTGACCCTCTCGGGGGCCCTCTTGAGGGCCGTTATGGGACTCTTGGGCCGTCTTGGGGCCACCCCAGTACCCACACAAGCAGCCCGGTCCCCACACCGCCTCTTCGGGGAGCCTCTTGGGAGCCTCTTGGGGCTCTCTTGAGACTTGGGACCGTCTTGGTGCTCTCTTGACCCGTCTTGGGGACCTCGTGGGCCGTCTGGGGGCCCTCTTCGACCGTTTTCGGCCTCTTTGGGGGGCCTCTGGGGCCTTCTTGGGATGGTCTTTGGGGCCTCTTGGGTCGTCTTGGGCCTGTCTGGGGGCCCTCTTGGACCGTTTTCGGACCCTTTGGGGCGCCTCTTCTTGGGACGATATTTGGGTCTCTGGGGCCTGCTGGAGCCCTTCCGGACCTGAAAAGGGGAGGACCCCAAAAACCTTCAAAAACTTATGCAAAAACAATCGGGTAATCAATGTTGTTGGCCTCGTCAGGCCCTCTCGGGGGCCCTCTTGAGGGCTGAGGGCCTCTGGAGCCGTCTTGAGAGTCGCTTGGGCCGTCCGGAGGCCATCTGAAGCTCTCTTAGGGCCGTCTTGTGACGCGCTTGTGCCGTCTTTGGGAGCCGCTCGGGAGCCGCTTCACTAGAAAACAAACTAGGGAATCGGCCCCCGGGCGGCCATTACGCCCATGCTTGCGGCCCTCGCCCCTCCTCGACCCCTCCTTAAAGGGCTTCGCCCCAACTCAACGTCTTTCGCTCGTACCTCACTCTTTCTGGCACCTGGGTCGACACGGGGACGGAAAGAGCGCTGCAGGAACTTGCCCGAGATGGCTCCTGGCACCTTTTGCTCTGGGGAGCCTTGGCGTGAAGAGCTGGTTGGGTCATCGCTCTCTGTTGGGAGCCCTGGTGTTCAGAGACTTGTACGTTGCCGCTCGCTCTTAGGAGCCTTGCTGTTAAGAGCTGTTTACTTCACCGCGCTCTGGGGAGCATTGCCGTTCAGAGCTTGTTACGTCACCGCTCGCTGTGGGGAGCCATGGTGTTCCTTGGCGTCTCTAGGGCTTCTTGGCAATCTTTTGGGGGCCATTTTGGACAGTTTTGGGACTCTTGGGCCGTCTTGGGGCCAGCCCAGTCCCCACATCCAAGCAGCCCAGTCCCCATATCGCCTCTTCGGGCCCTCTTGGGAGCCTCTTGGGGCCCTCTTGGGACTCCCTTGAGACTTAGAACCGTCTTGGGGCTCTCTTGACCCGTCTTGGGGCCCTCGTGGGCTGTTTGGGGGCCCTCTTCGACTATTGTCGGCCTCTGTGGGGGGCCTCTGGGGCCGTCTTGGGATGGTCTTTGGGGCCTCTTGGGCCGTCGTGCGCCCATCTGGGGGCCCTCTTCGACAGTTTTCGGGCCCTTTGGGTCGCCTCTGGGGCCGTCTTGGGACGATCTTTGGGGCCTCTTGGGCCGTCTGGTGATCTTCTGGGCCCGAAAAAGGGAGAACCCGAAAAAACTCCAAAACCTATGGATATTCCATGTATCTGGCCTCCTCAGGCACTCTCGGGGGCCCTCTTGAGGGCCTCTGGAGCCGTCCTGAGGCTCTCTTGGACCGTCGGGAGGCCATCTGAAGCTCTCTTGGGGTCGTCTTGGGGCCCTCTGGGGCAGTTTTTGGGCCCTCTTGGGCCGTCTTGGGGCCCTCTGGCAGTTTCACTAGAACAAATACAAGGAAACAGGACATGGAAGCCGCCCAGGAGCCGCTTCACTAGAATGAAAACCAAGGAAGCGGCCCCCGGATGGCCATTACACCCGTGCTCACCCCCGTCGCCCCTCCCCTGGCCCCCTCCCTAGAAGACGTCGCCCCTACTCAATGTACATCGCTCGTACCTCGCTCTTTCCGTCACCTGCTTGGCATGGGGACGGAAAGCGCGTTTATTTTTTGAGGGCGCGAGGTCGCTGGCTTAGTGTCTTGGAGCCCTGTTGGTGTTAAGGCCTCGGTACGACATACAAAATCCAGCAACCAACCTGGCGAAAATCAATACATATTACATTTCCGGGCCTTTCTGGGGGTCCCTGTGGGGCTCTTTTGGGCCGTCTTGGGGATCCTGTCTACCCCCCGCCCCCCCCCCCCTTGTCATTTCTAGTGGCTAGCGGATAGCGAAGCTACGCGCGCTCTCCGTCATCCGCCGCCTCCTGTTAGCTTGGCTTGCCACAGGGGTGCCCGCCGTGCCAGACTTCAGGTGTTTGCTTAACTCCCCCATGGGGCTTCGTTCCAGCGCGCCGGCCACCCGGAAGGCCCCCAAACCAGCACAACGTCCACAATACATTCTCCAAGACGGCTCAAGATGGCTTCTAAGATGGCCACGTTGGTCCAATCTGGCATCCAGGATGGCCCAAAATTGTCAAAGATGCCTCCAAATCCGCCGAAGAAGCCACCAAGACGGCCCAAGATGGCTCCAAGATGCCTCCGAGTCCGCCCATGAAGCCTCCAAGAAGGCCCAAGACGGCCCAAGAGGCTCCCAACACGCACCCAAAACGTCCTCCAGGAGGACTCGAAGAAGCAACAATCATTGGTTGTCCTTAGGTTATTACAAGATTTTGACATGTACTTCTTCTCCGCCTCCCGACGGCCCGAGACGGCCAAAGAGGCCTTCACGATGGCCCCAGGACGGCCGAAGAGGCCCCCAAGACGGCTCCAAGAGGGCCCCAAGACGGCCCAAGAGGCCCCCAAGACGCCCAAGATGACCTCCAAGACGACCCTGGAGCACTCCAAGAGGGCCACAAATCGGCCCAGAGAGGCCGCCAAGACGGCTCCCGACGGCATCAGATGGGCCAGGAGCCCACTAAGACGGCCCAAGATGGCTCCAAGGTGGCCTAAGACGGCCCAAGAGGCCCCCAAGAGGTCTCCAAGACCCAAGAGGCCTCCAACAGGGCCTCCAGGAAGACCTCCATGAAGGCCCGAAGAGGCCAAGTAATGTCCCTTACATGTTTGAGAAATGTTGGCATTTGCTTCTTTTCAGCCTTCCGACGGCCCGGGACGGCCTACGAGCCCCCAAAGATCACCCCAAGATCGCCCAAGAGGCCTCTAAGATGGCCCGAGAACGGCCCAAGAGGCCCCCTAGACGGCCCAAGATGGCCTCCAAGACAACCCTGAAGCACCCCACGAGGACCCCAAGTCGGCCCAGAGAGGCCCCCGAGACGGCTCAAGTCGGCGTCAGACTGTCCAGGAACCCACCAAGACGGCCCAAGATGGCTCCAAGATGGCCCAAGATGGACCAAGACGGCCCAAAGGGCTCCCAAGTGGTCTCCAAGACAGCCCAAGAGGCCTCCAACAGGGCCTCCAGCAAGGCCTCCAGGAAGGTCCGAAGAGTCCCAAATCAGTGATGTGCCTTAGATGTTTGAAGGATTTGGGCATTTGCTTCTGTTCGGCCTTCCGACGGCCCGAGACGGCCCCAGTGCCTCCAGAGACCGCCCCAAGATCGCACAAGGTCGCCCGCAGGGCCTCCAAGATGGCCCCAGGACGGCCGAAGAGGCCCCTAAGACGGCCTCAAGACGGCCCCAAGACGGCCCAAGAGGCCTCCAAGACGCCCAAGCTACCCTGGAGCACCCCAACAGCCCCAAGTCGACCCAGAGAGGCCCCAATGACGGCTTCCGACGGCGTGAGAAAGCCAGAGGCCCCCGAGAAGCCCCCAAAGGCCCCTGAGAGGCACAAGGAGGCCCCCAAGATGCCCTCAAGAGGCTCCCAGGAAGCTCCCCGGATGCCCCAAAAGTTTCCCCAGAGGCTCCCAAGATTCCTCCTCCTCCTCCTCCTCCTCCTCCTCCTCCTCCTCCTCCTCCTCATCCTCCTAATCTTCCCCGCCATCCTCTCCCAAATGTTCCCAGAAGGGTTTCCACAACGGCTGGGGGAACACATGGTCCGATAGCTTGGCAGAGCTCTTGCCACAACGCTCGGCCACATGGGCAATTCGGGGGCGGCGGTGATTCGCAGTAGGCGTCTTCGATAAAAAAATACACAGACACCTTCCGACGAATTTTTCATGTACCTTCAGGGAGGGCGGTTGTGTAGAAAGTCGCCTAGCTCTCAGTGGTGATTTATACACCGCCACCATCTCCTGAGACCTAGAAACAATCCATCGGAGTGTAAATGTGTGCATATGTTTGTGGCGGGCTTTCTCTATAGAGCAGAAAAAACACAGACTAACGAAGCCACCCTGGCAAGCGAAGCCGTAAGGAATCGAGCAGGGCAGGGCCGTTTCGTAAACGCCCAGGGCCGTTCAGCAAACGCCTATGATAGGGCCCAGGGTGGCTTTTCCTCCCCAGAGTTTCCCTAAACATCTACATGTACAAGTTTCGATGTTGTCCCCGTTGGTCCGCGCGAGTGCTGTTCGCGTCACGAGCCACGAAAGACTCGGAGCGGGTGGACTTCGGACTTCACACCGTCCCTGCGAAGCCGGAGTTCCTACAGGTCCACCGACTGGGGAGCCGATCTCCCAAGAGACGTGGGGGCGGCGGGTATGGATAACTCTATGCGGGCCGCAAGTGCCCCGAACGTATCCATACCTACCGCCTCGCGAGGACCAGGAAGATCGGCTCGCCAGGAGGTGGACGTGTACCAAGACATCCGACGTATTCATCTGTTCAACGAGAATGCGGGGTCCCTGGAAGTCCCGACCCTTTCCTCAGGTCCAGGTCTTCATCCCGACGACGGAGCTGGGGCCCAGGGAAGGACCCCAGAGGCCGAAAACGGGCAAGAACCTTCTGCCGTGATGTTTCCACGACGCGAGCACGTCGGGTCGTCGGGCCATAACTCGAGCATCCTGCGGCAATTCGGGACGATCTGGGCACCCCTGGATTCCTTCGGCGAGGCGCAGCCGCCAGAATGCATCCCGAGGTAAGGAAGATTCCAGGAGCCAACGAAAGCTGCCATAAACCGCCCGTGCCAATGTTTCACAACCTTCCGCCTCGAAGGTGTCAGGCTGGCTCCACGGGAGGCCCGCCAGGAGCCCCGGCTCGCACCGCCGCAGCGCCAGCAGGTCGTAGCCCCCGTCCTCTAATGGGCGACAATCGCATGCGTCTCCACGGCCTCGCGGGCAAGGCCCCCTGGCCGCAACCCCGCGGATTCGGGGCCTTTGGTCGCGGATGACCTGCGTATCCGCGAGATCGCGCCCCAAAATCCGGACAGCGAAGGCGCGGGTATGGATGCGTTCGCCGCTCGTGATCCTCCGCGGGCCCCAGCACGGCCTCAGCTCCCGCGTCCAACGCCGCGAGCACCTCCCGCACGCGCGAGGGCGGCCTCCCTGGGCTGTCGGCGCCCGCGCAGATGACGGCCGGAGCGCTCTCCAGCCCCTGGCGGACTATGCCCTCGATCCTCTCGGGGGCGCGCCGGATGTTACCCTGAGGTCCTGGCGTTGCATTTTTTTCGCACAGGGCGTTTTCGTTCAGTTTCGGGCCCCGGGACCCTCACAGATCGATCAGGTTCTAAAAATGGCCCAGAAAGATGAGGTCTTGGTGGTGGCTTTTGGCGGTGTTGCAACTTTTGTTGGCAACGTCGTATCTCAGGGAAGCGGGAAAGGAGAGGGGGGAAGGCTTCTCAGAAGCACCCTACTTCTCAGAAGGCGCGGGCCTCATCTACAGCAGGGCCGGCGCCCTCAAAAAGTAGCCTCCTTCCGAGAAGCCCTCCCCTAGAAGAGGGAAAGGGGCGAGGCCCAGACCACCGACGTCATGTTTTTCTCAGAACGTCGACCCCCCGAGGTCTCGACCCATTCCCCGGGACGACCTTTTCATCCTGACGCTGTTTCTTGACAACCCCCAGGCACGGCGAGGGCCCCAGAAGCCGAAAATAGCGAGAGCCTTCCGTCGTGACTTCTTCATGACTCGAGGGGGTCCAGAGGGGGCGGCCCTGCGGGGGAGGCAGCCAATCTCCTCCAGTCCCCTCTGGCTGCCCCCGCCTCTAGAAGCCGCGCGGGCCCCCCCCCCCCCCCCCCCCCTCGGGCCCTCCCTCCGATGACTCTGGCCTGGCGCCGAAGCCGAATTTCGAGAAATTCCCTCGCACGATGCAGACTTGCTGCGAGGGAACTTCTCGAAATTAATCGGCAGGTGATTCAGACCAGGTTTTTCGAGAAACTCCACGCCGAGAGGGGCAACGGGGCGAAGATTGGCGTTTTTTCTACAAACCTGGTATGCATGAGAGAACGGGATCCACCGCCGCTTTGCTGTGGAAAGTTTCCCCCCTCTGCCTCCGGAGCCCGGGCCCATCCCCTCCCTTCCCTACGAAAATCACCCCCCCTGCTCGAACCCCGCCCCCTCGTCCCCAGGCAAGCCTCCCCCCAACCCCCCCACTCCCCCTCGGAAGAAAACCGAGGGGGTCACTACAGACGGCCAAGAGGAAGAGCGTCGTCGGCAGCTTTCGGCCAAGGCGCGCAGCCTCGGCCCCAGAGGGCGAGCGGAGGGCCCCCCAGGATATTGCAGACGGCGAAGGGCCAGGGATCTCAACCATGGCACGGTCATCCGAGTGGGGATCCGCTGGGAATCCAATGGGAACCCAGTCTGGTTCTACGGGATCCGACCTTCTGGACTGCTGAAAAACTACTGCGTCTGGAAAGGGGAATCCTGGGGTCCGCGCGACGGACAAGGCAGCGGGGGGGGGGCGACCAGGGGACGGGGTCTCCTATGGAGACTTACCGAACGCTGGGGGGGGGGACCAGAAACGCACCGAGCTAGAAAAATAACATCCATCGCGTCGCCGGTGCCCCTTTTCCGACGCGGTAGCCGCCAGGGGCGATGGCCCCGTGCGCTGGGGGCCCAGCGGCCCTTTCACAATACGAATTAAAGGCAAGCCCCGCCTCCCACCGCGGCGGGGCGGCGCGGATGGGCCGTGGGCCGCAATTAGTTCATATTATAAATAGGAGGGCGCCGGGCGAACTCGCCCTCGTCGGCTGTCTTCGTTTTCAAGGGTCCGGCGTCTGAGGACGGAGGTTCCGGCTTGGTTCCACGATGGTTCCGAAGTTGCGAAATTCACGTAATCATGATAATGAAAAGTCCAAGGGCTACTTGAACTCAATGCCAAAGATTACCGCGAAGCTCGAGCCCATCTTGAAATCGCGGAAAGCGGTGATAAGGTGGACGACATACCATTAGCACCGCAATCAGCCAGGTGATCAGCACGGTCATTTAGTACGGCACCGTTGTGAGAAACAACCTTGGTCCATGTAATCTGACGATCGATGCTGTCAAGGATCTGCCGCGTCCTCAAGACAAGAGTCAAGTTGCGACGAGCACGGGCGTGTCTGCGATTAACGTCTGCAGCATATTGAGAATCAAACTCAACAGCAAATGATGAAAGATGTGCGGATTGAAGACGATGACTAAGATCGATAGCGGATAGGCCGGTGCGCCCGTCCAGACCGTTACGGGCGCCGCACCGCGATGTTATAGGATAAATTGTAAACAGTAATCTGTGTCAGGAAACAACAAGTCGCTGATGAAATTGAGGGCAAAGTACAAAGGCGTAATCTCCCCCACATTGTTGGAATGCCGTGTAGCACCAACGAAAGCCTCATCACCACGAGCAAGGACTGTCGGACCACAAAAATCCAGCAGCTGGTCGTAAAAGGGGAGAGCGACCGTGAAGCCCCACCCAAACTTAGACTCGTCCCCGTTGAGAGTTGCACTGCCGTCACACGAGACCACCACGTTAACCGGGTGCTGGAAAACCGTACCGGGGAGTTGCGGTGGCAGGCTGGCCCCTCGCGGAAGGCCGTCGTCCATATCGTGCGCAACTGGTGCGATGGCACGCTTGATGCGCCGTAGCGGAGGTAAGGCGCTCGCGTAGATGAAGTCGACAGGTTGAGAAACTGGTCGGTCCAAATCCAAGCGAACATGTCGATGGTGGCGCGCGTCCGCGCACGCCTGAGTAGCGATAGTGTTGACCCATAACAAATATTGTGAAACACATACAGTATGGTGAAGAGAAAGACCAGCAGGTAATCGAGAAGGGATAAGACCACAACATGCGAGACAAGGAGGAAGACCATCCGGAAACTGGTTGCCAAGAGCCTGTTGGTCAAGCCAGGCGCGGGCCTCTTGATTACACGGACAGTGCCACAAACGGTGTTCAGTTGTCTCCACTGCTGTGCCGCACCGTACACAGAACTCGTCGCCATCGTGGTAGGCGATGCGTGAGACGTGTAGCCGGGTCCACAAGCCAGCGGAGGTGAGGGCAGGACCTCCGAAGTGTAGTTGAGCAGCATCAAGATGCTCCCGTGCGTCTCGATTCTCGGTGAGGCCGTTGGACAAGCCGCCAAAGTCTTTGGGCCTCCGCCTCGCTTCGCTTCCAGCGAGGGCAAACCGAATAAAATCTCGTAGTTTATGAATTCACATGGTTCCTGCTCGGTTCCAGTTTTGTTCCAAGATGGTTCCAAAGTTGCAAGTGAACGGAACTCTGTGAATTCACATGGTTCTTGCTTGGTTCCATTTTGGTTCCACGATGGCTCCGGCGTTGCACAGGTCACGAGTTCCAGTTGAATTCGCATGGTGGCTGCTTGGTTCCAGCCTGGTTCCACGATGATTTCGACGTTGCCCAGGTTACGAAACCTTCTGGATCCACAAGGTTCCTGATGGCTCCTGCTTGGTTCCAGCTCGGTTCCACGATGGTACCGACGTTGCAAAGGTCGCGAAACCTTCTGGAGGGATCCTCGCCTGGTGGCGTTGCCATCGCTTCTCCTTCCACCGTGCCTTGAGGCGAGGCCGCGACCGCGAAGCAGCAGCCCCCGCCCTCGCTGTCGTCTTCTAACGAAGTCTGTGGCAAGACCGCCCCTGCCGCTCAGGAGGAGGCACGAGCAGTGTCAAGCGGAACGACCTCTGGGGAAGCTGGCGCCTCTCAGGGAAGCAGTTTGAGCCAAAACGCCGGCGGCCCGAGCGCCCCTGCCGCCCCGCCCGATGGATCGTGTGACCGCGCAGGCGCAGACGTGCGCGGAGACATGCGTACTCAAGCTTGCTCAACTCGTACCAACGCTACCTAACTGTCTGTACTGGGTCGAACCCCCCTCGGAAAACCGGGGTGGCCACTACCCGTTCGAACCCCCCCCATGCACCTCCTCCACCCCCCCTACTCGCCGCCGGCAAACGACTCCCGGGTCCCCACTACTGTCCTCACCACCGCCCTCACCACTGTTCCCACCACCACCGTCCCCACCACCGTCCCTCTGGCCCCACTGTCCACACAACTGCCCCATTGTCCCCTCTGTTCCTACAGCACTGCCCCCACTGTTCCCACCAGTGCCCCACCACTGTCGCACTGTAGGGACTGTCCCCACCACGGTCCCACTCTCCCCACTGGCCCCACTGTCCCACTGTCCCCACCACTGTCCCACTGTCCCCCACTGGCCCCTCCGCTGTCCCACTGTGCTGTCCAACTGTCCACTGTCCCCACCAGTGTCCCAGTGTCCCCACTGTCCCCACCACCACTGTCCCATTGTCCCACCACCGAGCTCACCACCGCCCTCACCACTGTTCCCACCATCACCGTCCCCACCACTGTTCCACTGTCCCCACTGTCCCCACCACTGTCGCCAGTGTCCCCTCACCACTGTCACCACCGCCACCGTCCCCACCACCGTCCCACTGTCCCCACTGTCCCCACCACTGTCCCGCTGTCCCCACCGTTCCCACCACTGTCCCCACCAGTGCCCCCACCACTGTCGCACTGTAGGGACTGTCCCCACCACGGTCCCACTCCCCAGTGTCCCCACTGTCCCCACCGCTGTCCCACTGTCCCCACTGTCCCTACTACCGTCCCATCTCCACTGTCCCCACCGCTGTCTCACTGTCCGGAGTGGGGGAGGAGGGGGAGTCGCGGCGAAGGAGGGGGGGGAAATTCGAACTGGTAGTAGCCCCCCCTTTTTCATGATGGACCGGGTGGGGGGGCTGGAAACCCCAGTGACCCCCCACGGTTTTCGAGGGGGGGGGACGGACTGGAAACTCCCAGTGATCCCCCCCCGGATTTCTGCCAGCAGCGGCAGAACACGCTCTTTCCCAGAAAGGACATTGCGAGAAGCCGCCCTCACGACCACCTGCCGCGCCCTCGGTCCTCGCGCCCAGGTCGCCCTCTGGCTGCAGCCACCGCGTCACCTCAGCTACACCGACGCGCCACGCGCAACGCGCAGCGCATGGATACGGAGCTCAGCACGCACCCTGAAAACGTAGGTCTGACGCGATACGTTCGCCAAAACATGGGCCAATACGTCGAATCAACACGCAACGTACAGTCGGGTTTGATTGGAGAGGACACGCGAGAGGACACAAGACCCTTCCGAGGGCCACATTGCCACAGGAATGTAAGAGGCATGGGTCGCGAGACACAGGACACAAGGGTACCCTTGATCTGGCAGGGTCGACCTACTAATGCGGGCCGCCTGTATTGACACGGACGTTTTGAGCACGGTACGTGTTGCGTATCAGAACGTACGCATCGAGGCAGCTAAGCGCGCCACGCTCCCCGGCGCAACCCCTTCGGGGAAGGCGTCGCCCGGGAAGGCCCCCTCGGGCATGCCGTCGTCGGTGGTCGCCAGCACAGGCAGTAGCCTCGCCTCGCCGAGAGCGAGCCGCAACGTGTCGCTGAGGAAGCACGTGGCCAGCCTCTGGGGCACGAGGGGAAAACTGTCCCAGAACCCCGCTCGCGTCGCGAAGAGCAAATCACGGCGGGAGGGGTTGTGCCTTGTTCGTTGGCTCCTGGCGGTTATTCCCTGCCTCGGGATGCATCCTGGCGGCTGCGCCTCGCCGAGGTTGTTCCAGGGGTGCCCGGATCGTCCCGAACGGCCGCCGGAGGCCCGAGCTATGGCCCGGAAACAAGACATGCTCGCATCCGGGCCCCGGGACCCTCACAGATCGATCTGGCTGCATACGTGAGGCAGGAAGTAAGGCCGAGGGCTCTGGTCGCGACTCCGCGCGGTGCTGCAGCTGCTTCCCCGACCTGGGATCTCGGCAAGGAAGGCCCCAGTAGAGTTAAGTCGGGCGTGGCCGCCTACTGGGGGATTTTGGACGAAAAATACAAAAAATGCCCCCAAAATGCTCCCAAATTGTCAAACAATAATTAAAAGATAGTCCCCAGAAAATGTCTAAACTATCTTTGGATACCCCTCCTGTAGAGGGACGGGCCCGACTTCGTGGTAGAGACGGGCCCTGGGCCACGCCAGAGATGCTTCGGGGACCGGCTGCTCCTCCCGAGCCGCTTCGCGGACGATCCCCTGGGCCGGCGCAGGGCCCCGGGAGTCCCAGAAACGGCGAAGGACCTCCATCCAGGCTCCTGGTCTGCATGGCGACCTCTGTCGACTACAGTCGGCCCGGATTAGTAGGTTTAAGTCGGGCGTGTCCCCCTACAGGGGGATTTTCGACGAAAAATAAAAAGTACTCCAAAAATACTCCAAAATGGCCCCCCAAAAAAATACACAAAAATAATATCCAGACTATTTTTTGACTATTTTTGAATATTCCTCCCGTAGAGGGACAAGCCCGACTTAATAGTAGGTCGACCCTGCCAGCTCAAGGGTACCCTTGTGTCCTGTGCCTCGCGACACGTGCCTTCTTACACTCCTATGGCGATGTGGCCCTCGGAAAGGTCGTGTGTCCTCTCGCGTGTCCTCTCCAATCAAGTCCGACTGTACACGCAAGAGTGACCTTTGGTACGCGGCGTTTTGGGGGCCGCCGGGGGACCAACACACCAGTGCGCAAATCGCTACTATACCGCATCGCGCTCGGCGATCGGGGGACCCCGGTGGGACCGCGCCAAAAGTCACTCCGGCGAAGGGTCACTCTTGCGTGCAGTCGACTCGGGTTCAAAAGGCCAATGTTGAGAACCGATCCCCCAGGCCTCTGGCGAGATGCGCTTGGACCAGACTCTCGGAGGGAACCATCCAGCCGCGGCGACGAGGAGCCTCTCCGCGGAGGATCATACAGAGTAGACACGTACGCTAAGATATCCTACCATAAGATATGTAGGGGCACGTGCTTCGTCGAACCTTGCACTTCCTGCGGTGCACCAGGGCTTATGTAGGCCCTCGGGGCGATCTAGGGATAAGATCAAAGACTTCCGAGGGACACCTGCTGACAGGCCCACTGGTTTGGGAGACAAGCGTTCAAGGCCTCGACCATCGCCCCTCGAACATCCAGGACCCCTTCCTCAGACATCCGACGATCTGACGTTCTCAATGCGCTGCCCCCGAGGCCCATCGCCTGGGGGCAACTGTTAGCCCCGGATCCGTTCCTGATGGCCCCGGGGCCCGAGTGGGCCCCAGACGCCCAGATCGAGAGAACGGGCCCCAGAGGCCGAGATCGAGGAGCCGCCCAGCGCACAAAAAAAGCCTCCGGCGTCGGAATGTCCTGGCCCCTGCGCTGAGCCGAGGCCTGCAGGCGGCCTCGGCGCCGATGCCGGCGGCCAGCCGCGTCTTCGCGCGGCCGGGCCGCGGCGGCTTCGCGAAGATGCAGAAGGGTATCGGCTTAAGTCGGGCCTGTCCCTCTACAGGGGGAATCGGAGGTTGGGGGGTGAGATCGCAGTGAAACGGAGACCCCCCACCGGGAAATCGGTTTCGGTTTCGTGTTCGAGTCGTGTGTGCGGGCGAGGCGAAGCTGCGCGTGATCCTCCTGTAGCTAGGCCGAAGTAGGAGCTAAAGTCCGGGTGCCCAGCAGCCGGTAGCCGGTTGGGCCTGGCGGTGTCCCGGGTGTCCCGGGTGTCCCGGGTGTCCCGAGCGTCCTTTCCCGTCAGCCAGTGGCCGGTTGGGCCGGGCGGTGTCCCGGGTGTCCCCGTTCCGGTATCGATATTGAGATCGATGTGGTGCCCCGAGGTGTCCTGTGGTGTCCCGTGGTGTCCCAAAAAGTGAAATCGATGGTGAGATCGATCATGAGATCGAGAGGTGTCACGCGGTGTCCCGTGGTGTCCCATGATGTCCCATAAAGTGAGATCGATAGTGAGATCGATAGTGAGACCGAGAGGTGCCCCAAGGTGTCCCGTGGTGTCCCGTGGTGTCCCAAAAAGTGAGATCGATAGTGAGATCGATAGTGTGATCGACAGGTGCCCCGCCGTGTCCCGTGGTGTCCCGTGGTGTCCCGTTGAGTGAGATCGATAGTGAGATCGATGATTAGATCGACAGGTGTCCCTCGGTGCCCCATGGTGTCCCAAAAAGTGAGATCGATAGTGAGATCGTTAGTGTGATCGACAGGTGCCCCGCCGTGTCCCGTGGTGTCCCGTGGTGTCCCATTGAGTGAGATCGATAGTGAGATCGACAGTGAGACCGATAGTGAGATCGAGAGGTGTCCCGCGGTGTCCCGTGGTGGCCCGTGGCGGCCCGTGGTGTCCCGTTGAGTGAGACCGATAGTGAGATCGACAGTGAGATCGACAGGTGTCCCGTGGTGTCCTGTGGTGTCCCGTTGAATGAGATCGATAGTGAGACCGCTAGTGAGATCGATGTGGTGCACCGAGGTGTCCCTCGGTGTCCCGTGGTGTCCCGTTGAGTGAGATCGATAGTGAGATCGATGTGGTGTCCCGAGGTGTCCCGTGGTATTCCGTTGAGTGAGATCGATAGTGAGACCGATGGTGAGATCGAGAGGTGTCCCGCGGTGTCCCGTGGTGGCCCGTGGTGGCCCGTGGTTTCCCGTGGTGTCCCCTTGAGTGAGATCGATAGTGAGATCGATAGTGAGATCGACAAGTGTCCCGTGGTGTCCCGTGGTATCTCGTTGAGTGAGATCGGTAGTGAGATCGATTGAGTCAGATGTTGGTTCCCCCCCTCTCGCCCCCCCCTACACAACCTCCTTATCACCCGAAGGGTGGTCGTATAGGTATTCAAAAATAAGCAAAAAATAATCAGGGGACTATGTTTAGTATTATTTGATCATTTTAGTGTATCTTTGAATATATATATATATATATATATATACATATACATATGTCTGTATATGTATATGTAAAAATATATATAAAATAAAATTGTAATACATATATATATATATATATATAAATTTTGTTTCAACAAAAAAAAACTTGTCGTCCAACATCCCCCTGTAGGGGGACAGGCCCGACCTCAGTATCGGCCCCGCCTCCGACGGCGGCGGCTCCGCAGACATGGAGGCGTCTGGCCCACCGGCGCCTCGAGGAAACGAGGCGCCCAGGGGCGCGGCGCCTCGGCACAGACATCCCCGCGTCGCGAAAAGACCACGACGGCGCTTTTGGGCATGCCTCGGCCCCTGGGGGAGCCCTCGATGGGCCCTTGGACCGTCAAACAGCGGCCGGGGGTGAAGAGCCGGCCCAAGGGAAAGGCTGGGGACTCCCACGAGATCTGGCGGTGCGGGAAAAGTGCAGCACCGTGACAAGTCACGCCCAGAGCCCTGGACCCCATCTTGCTGCACCAACTTCTAGCCAGATCGACCCGTGAGGGTCCCGGGGCCCGAAGCCTGGTGAAAACGCCCAGCTCGAATAAGCTGAGACGCCTGGATCTCCGGGTCCTGGGCCCTGGGACCCCGCATTGGAACAGGTAAGGCGTGGGGCGTCTGGGAAGACAAGGCGTCCCGGGGCTCCGCGCCTCAGCTTGGAAAGGGCGAGGAGCTCGAGCCTGGGCGGCTGCGGCCACGCGCCGGCGGCGGCCAGCATCGGCGCCACGAGAAAGCACGCGCTTTCTTATAGTCCCGCCAGCCTTCTGGGCGCAGGCAGTCTGACGATGTCTTTCTTCCCTCTTCCAAGAGCCCCTCTTCTCCCTCGGGGCAGGGTTTATCACTGTTCACTATTAATATACACCCCCTCCCCCAGGTGACCGGCAGCCAACCAGGAACCGTGCTCCCCCCCCCACCATCCCTGTCAAAAGGAAAATACAAAACGCACTCTGCTTCCGAATTCTGAGCATGCGCAACCAACCGGATGCGCCCCCCCATCCCTGTCACAAAACAATACAAAATACACTTGTGGGCAAATGTCTAGACTCATGTGCGTGAGGCCCGCGAGCACTGTGTATTGCTTTTTACAGGGACGGCGGGGGTGTCAGCATATTGCCTGCTGCGCGCAGGGCTACCATCCCTGACAAAACACAATACAACATGCACCTCGCGGCTGAATCTGGATCATGCGCGGCCACCCCGCGATCACTGTCGAGTAGCTTTTGACAGGGATGGCGGGGGTGGTGGCGCATGGACTGCTGTGCGCAGGCCCACCAGACAGAATGATGAGCATCGGCTTTCGACAGGGATGGTGGGGGCCGACATGCTTCCCGATGTTTGCCGTCACGTGCAGAGGTGCACCTGAAACTTTGCACGTGCCCCAAACGTGGCGCACCTGGCGCGGCTGGAGTATGCGGTACACCTGGCGCACGCGGAGACACGTGGCGCATCTGGCGCACCAGGCGTGCCTGGCACGCTCGGGCCCAAGGGGTGCCCGGCGCGCGTGGCGCGCCTGGCACGCGTGGCGCACATCGCCCCAGCGTCGCGTACCTCGGTTTTGGTTCCCAGTAGCTGCCCATCCAAAGACGACCGCTGAACGTGCTGAGGCTTGGGTGTTACTTATGTGTTGGGAGGGCGGGTGGGACTGAGCTAGACGGCTTGCTATCTGAAGGGGGTCTTGACCCCTCCCACTACCCGCTCCCCTGGACCTGGACTGGGGGGGGTCGCGAGATGTCAGAGGGTCCTTTTTGGCCCAAGGTGGCTCCAAGAGGGCCCTAGAAAGCCCAAGATTGTCTCCAAGATCGCACAAAACAGTCCAACATGGCTCACGATAGCTAACAGCATGCCTCCAAGAGGCCCCAAGAGGGCCACAAGACGGATCCAAGTGCTTTCGGAGACCCCTCAGCACCTCCCCGAGAAGCCAAAATCCTTCAACAACTTTAGGGAAATCTATGATTTTTGCTGTCTCGCTTCTTCGCTTCAAATGCGCTTTTGATGCATTAAGGTGGCCCCAAGGTGGCCCAATACAGTTTTGAGAGGGGCCCAATAGGCCCCCAAAACGGCCCCAAGAGCGCCCAATATCGCCCCCAAGAGCGCCCCAAGAGGGCTAGATAAGGGACCTCCCTTTTGATCGATAGACTCCAAGATGGCCCCAGGAGGCTCTCCGAAGCTCGCAGGAGAGCCCCAAGGGAGCCCCAAGAGGGCCCCAAGAGGGGCCCCAAGAGAGCCCCAAGACGCCCCAAAAGAACGCTAAGAGGACCCCAAGACCACACAAAGAGCCCCAAGAGGGCCCCAAGATGTCCCAAAAGAGCCCCACGAGGACCCCAAGAAGACCCCCCAAAGCCCCATAGATCCAGGTCTCCGATGCTCCAAGATAGCCTCCAACATGGCTCAACACGTTCCTCCCGCTCCTCTCTTTGACCGCTCTGTTTCACTCTATGCGTCTCTGCTTTCCATTTCCCGTCAGCTCTCGTGGGCAGGGCTTCTGAATGGGCTGGCGGGGATTCGCGAACGGTCAGAATGAGGGGGCCGAACGGTCATTCATTGTCCCTGGGTGCGTGGCTGAATAAGGAATTTGCGGTGGGAATTCTGCGTGTTGCATTGTTGTTGTCGTTGTTGTTGTTGTTGTTGTTGTTGCTATTGTTGTTGTTGTTGCTGTTGTTGTTGTTATTGTTGTTGTTGTGGTTGGTGTTGTTGTTGTTGCTGTTGCTGTCGTTGTTGTTGGTGGTGGTGGCTGTTGTTGGTATTGTTGCTGGTGTTGTTGGTGTTGTTCTTGTGGTTATTGTTGTTGTTGTTATGGTTTGTTGTCGTCGTCCCACCCGCGACCCACCCGCGACCCACCCCGCGACCTACCCCTCGACCCACCCGCGACTCACCCCGCGACCCACCCCGCGACACACCCGCGACCCACCCGCGACCCACCCCGCGACCCACCCGCGACCCACCCGCGACCCACCCCGCGACCCACCTGCGACCCACCCTGCGACCCACCCGCGACCCACCCCGCGACCCACCCTCACGCAAGGAAAAGCCACCCGGACCCGACAACTCACGTCTACTAAACAGCCCTGGGCGTTTACTAAACAGCCCTGCCTTGTTCGATTCATTCCTTGTGTGCGTTTACTAAACGGCTTCGCTTGTCGGGGTGATTATTATGGGGTGGCCATTTGCGACCCACCCGCGACCTGCCCACATTGGTTTAACTTGGTTTAACGAAAAAATCAGCGCCTGCGGCGGGCTCGTTGTATAATTTGTGTAACTTTGGCACCTGCGGCAGGCTTCTCCAGACTCTCGCAAACTGCCGACGTCCCCACCGCCCCCTCACTCTTATCCGCATCTGCGGGGTGCTAGATGAACAGTATTTGTGCACAAACAACCACACAAACATATAAGCATACCTATATACACCTATGTTGGAACCTGTTTATTTTATTCCGGCCCGATGACGGTCGTCATGTGGGGAGGGGGGCGATGACATCACGTTTCGCGCCAGCGGCGTCTGAGAATGCCTAAGAGTGACCGTGGACGGGTAGCACCAGCATGTGGGTGGCGATCTGCACCGCAGCGCCTGTGTACACCCCGGTGCCTGCGTGCACCACAGCGCATATGGAAACCACACCGCCTATGTACACCACAGAAGCCGCGTGCAACACAGCGCCAGAGTGTACCACAGCTCCTGCGTGCACCACAGCGCACGTGTGCACCACAGAGCCTGCGTACACCACATCAGCCTGGTGCAACACAGCACCGGTGTACACAAGTGCCCGCGTGCACCACAGCGCCTGTGTACACCACGGCGCCTGTGTGCACCACAACAACCGTGCGCAACAAAGCACCATTGTTGCATGTAGAATTCTAAAAAAGGAACCTTATGACAACCTGGGGCGCCCGTGGATTCAACAGAAAACAATTGTTGGAGAAAAAAAAAAAACGGAAAAAGCAGCGCCGCTAAAATCTACGAGTCCTCCCGAATCCCCCCGCATCATCCTAACCCCTCCCATCTGCGACCAAAAGCTCCAGCAGAATTGGCCGTCGGAGAACCAAGTGGACTGAATCAATCGACCATTATGCAGTGCACGCTGAGATGCGCACGTGCGCTGCAACGCCGACACGCACGACGGAAGTGTGAGGGAGGAGGAGGAGGAGGAGGAGGAGAGGAGGAGGAGGAGAAGACGGAGGAGGAGGAGGAGGAGGAGGAGGAGGGAGACGGGAAGTACATCGCATTCTATCATCAGCACTTCCTTGGCGTGGCGTTTAGCTGTCCGCAGCAGATCCTCACTTACATGCTCCTTCGACCTGTCTCTGCACGCAGGCACTGTGGTGTACACCAGCGCCGCGTTCCACGCGGATGCTGAGGTGTACACTGGCGCTGTGGTGTGCACAGGCGCTGCGGTGCACGCAAGCATTGTGGTGTACAAAGGCGCTGTGGTGTACACGCGCACTGTGGTGCAAGCGAGCACTGTGGTGTACACAGGCGCTGTGGTGCACGCAAGCATTGTGGTGTACAAAGGCGCTTGTGGTGTACACGCGCGCTGTGGTGCAAGCGAGCACTGTGGTGTACACAGGCGCTGTGGTGCACACAAGCGCTATGGTGCACGCAGGAACTGTGGCACACACTGGCGCTGTGTTGCACGCGGTTGCCGTTGTGTACATAGGCGGTGTGGTGTACACAGGCGGTGTGGTGAACGCAAGCACTGTGGTGTACACAGGCACTGCGTTGCACGCGGCTGTTGCGGTGTACACAGGCGCTCTAGCGTACATGCGCGCTTTGGTGCACGCGAGCACTGTGGTGTACACAGGCGCTGTGTTGCGCATGGAAGCTGCGGTGTATACATTCGATGTGGTGTACACAGGCACTGTGGTGTACGCAAGCACTGTGGTGTACACAGGCGCTACGTTGCACACGGCTGTTGCGGTGTACACAGGCGCTGTGGTGTACACGCGCGCTGTGGTGCACGCGAGCACTGTGGTGTACACAGGCGCTGTGGTGCACACAAGCGCTGTGGTGCACGCAGGAACTGTGGCACACACTGGCGCTGTGTTGCACGCGGTTGCCGTTGTGTACATAGGCGGTGTGGTGTACACAGGCGCTGTGGTGAACGCAAGCACTGTGGTGTACACAGGCACTGCGTTGCACGCGGCTGTTGCGGTGTACACAGGCGCTCTAGCGTACATGCGCGCTTTGGTGCACGCGAGCACTGTGGTGTACACAGGCGCTGTGTTGCGCATGGAAGCTGCGGTGTATACATTCGCTGTGGTGTACACAGGCACTGTGGTGCACACAAGCACTGTGGTGTACACAGGCGCTACGTTGCACACGGCTGTTGCGGTGTACACAGGCGCTGTGGTGTACACGCGCGCTGTGGTGCACGCGAGCACTGTGGTGTACACAGGCGCTGTGGTGCACACAAGCGCTATGGTGCACGCAGGAACTGTGGCACACACTGGCGCTGTGTTGCACGCGGTTGCCGTTGTGTACATAGGCGGTGTGGTGTACACAGGCGCTGTGGTGAACGCAAGCACTGTGGTGTACACAGGCACTGCGTTGCACGCGGCTGTTGCGGTGTACACAGGCGCTCTAGCGTACATGCGCGCTTTGGTGCACGCGAGCACTGTGGTGTACACAGGCGCTGTGTTGCGCATGGAAGATGCGGTGTATACATTCGCTGTGGTGTACACAGGCACTGTGGTGCACGCAAGCACTGTGGTGTACACAGGCGCTACGTTGCACACGGCTGTTGCGGTGTACACAGGCGCTTGTGGTGTACACGCGCGCTGTGGTGCAAGTGAGCACT